AATTACTATATGGGGGATGAATTACTATGGGGGATGAATTACTATATGGGGGATTAATTACTATGGGAGATGAATTACTATATGGGGGATTAATTACTATGGGGGATGAATTACTATATTGGGGATGAATTACTATATGGGGGATGAATTACTATGGGGGATGAATTACTATATGGGGGTTGAATTACTATGGGGGATGAATTACTATATGGGGGATTAATTACTATATGGGGGATGAATTACTATATGGGGGATGAATTACTATGGGGGATGAATTACTATGGGGGATGAATTACTATATGGGGGATGAATTACTATGGGGGATGAATTACTATATGGGGGATGAATTACTATGGGGGATGAATTACTATATGGGGGATTAATTACTATGGGAGATGAATTACTATATGGGGGATTAATTACTATGGGGGATGAATTACTATATGGGGGATGAATTACTATGGGGGATGAATTACTATGGGGGATGAATTACTATGGGGGATGAATTACTATATGGGGGATGAATTACTATATGGGGGATGAATTACTATGGGGGATGAATTACTATATGGGGGATGAATTACTATGGGGGATGAATTACTATGGGGGATGAATTACTATATGGGGGATGAATTACTATGGGGGATGAATTACTATGGGGGATGAATTACTATATGGGGGATGAATTACTATATGGGGGATTAATTACTATGCTTACTATGGGGGAATATTACTATACTTACTATGGATGACACATACACATCATTCATCTACTCTTGGTCCAGCCCCTGGGTCCAATATATGAACCCATTGCGGCCCTCAAGTCAAAAAGTTTGCCCACCCCTGATCTAGACCTTCAAAATAAGTAAAATCATTACAGAAATAATTATAAAGGATAAGAAAAAAACATAGAATCACTAGAACTAAGGAAATCAAATTAGAATACATAAAGATATGCCTAGTGCTGTTTGTTAAACACAGTAGACGCGATCGAGTGTCGGCTGTCAGAGGAATCCACCCTGAGATTTACTATTGAGTAGTGGCTAAAAAGCAAGCACCCACAGAGGACGTCTAAAATGTGTTCTGTACATGCGCATTTATGTCAGCCAAATAAGCTGCATGAGCGTCTAGTTTTTCACTGTGTCGATTTGCTTAAAAAAAAACCTTTTTAACACATTTTAATTTTTTTTTGAAATGGCAGATATTGTTTAAAGTGAAGTCCTGATATTTGGCAAAGCAAATTTCAAAGTGAACATGTCTCTGCAGTGATTTTTCATGGTGTTAGACATACCTCTTACCAAGTCTGCTTTGTGAGTCTGATTCCTGGTGTGTGTCTCGTTAGTAAATTCGATTGGGCGTCTACTTGTTGACGCTGCTCAATAGTAAATCTCTTAGCGGGGTAAAAGTAGATGGTCGCTCATAAAAATCAGACATTCGCCCACGGAAATGTGCCCAGGCACAATAGTAAATCAGGGTCTTTGGGTCTGGTATGTCCTCCACAAAATCCATACCAGACCCTTATCTGAGCATGCAGCCTGGCAGGTCAGGAAAGGGGGGTAATGAGCTAGTGGCCCCCCTGAATCATACCAGGCCACATGCCCTCAACATGGGAGTGCTTTGGGGTAGGGAGGTCCGACCCAAAGCAATTTGTCCCCGTTGATGGGTGCAAGGGTCTTTTCCCCACAACCCAGGATGATGGTTGTGGGGATCTGCGGGTGGAGGGCTTATGGTAAACTGGAAGCCCCCTTTACTAAGCGGGCCCTCAGATCCTGGCTCTCCCCATGTGAATGAATCCATTCACTAAAAAAGTGTAAAAACATTAGAAAAAACACAACACCCGTTTTTGTCCTCCGAAGTAGATCCAATGTCAATCATGATGAATGCCACTTGCCAACCGGAAAAAAAAAAAAAAAAGGGATCGGCTTCCTGGCAACAACCAGTTATTCTTCACACAGAATAGGAATTGGTCAATACATTTTTGACCAATTCGAATTTAAATCATTCTGAAAATGTTAAACTTTGTTAGAAGATTAATAAATAAAACTAAACAAATTCCGAAACGAATCTACAAAATTAAATTAGTAATATAATGAATTTATCCAAAATGAAACAAAACATATTTTTCTGTTCTGCACATTTCTAGGCCTGACAACTGAGTGTCTCTGTCCATTCCCTCCTATATGCTTGTAAAAGGATAGCCATACACTATGCAACCTGATTGTACAATCTCTTTACGGTTCACCAGGACTATGGAATAGGAGGACACACCTGAACAATCCATTCAATCTGTATCAAATCAGACAGGCCCTTGTACTACATAGCTGATGGGAGATCTAAAGGAGATTGTACAATCAGATTATATAGAAAGTGGGTGGAAGGCAGTATAGTAATGAGGGAGGTGTGGTCCTGAGTGGTGAACACACCCTATTATGCCCTCTTCTGTGATGGGAAGTAAACTCTTCTGGAAGATGGCCTACAGGAAGTGAATGCTAAGAGATTATATACAGTAAGTGATGAAAGCTGCAAGTCATGTCAAAAATTCAAATAAACTGACAAGATTTTAAACCTCCTGTGGATAAGGTAAGTGAGAGATAAGCACATTGGGATGGCTGGGCCTGAAATGGCTTTGAAAAACACTTCTACTTATTATGCAAAGTGAAATTCTGCCCAAAAAGGTGAACTTGTCCTTTAATGCTATTTGAACTTTTCAGTTACAGAAAGGCACATACAAAGGTTAGCACTTCATCTTCCCTATGCTGCTCAAAAACCACGATATAGTGACAAGATTCAGGCTGTATTCACACAGAAATAGCAGAGCTATTCACCACACTGGCAGCAGTCCGTTGCTAGCCGCAGTAGGGGGCAGTGTGGTGCATGATTCAGCAAATCACATGGCTCCTTTTTTTGTAAAAACTTTATGTGCAGTGCACAAAATGTACACTTCATTCATGACAACATACAGCAGAGTGATGCACTGTGCTGCCATACATTGCGATGCAATCTGGCACGGTGCACTGCAATTTGAGAGATTGTTGGTTTGGGCTGGGGACGACCCAGCTGTCAGGTCCTGTAGGCCACAGACAACAGAAGCCAAGGAAGGCCTGCACTGACTTGGCTTTAGTGTATGACAAATCAAGCCACGGTATGCACTGGAGATAACTGACTTGTTCACAAAGACTATGTCATCTTTCTCCTCCCAGGCACAGAGTAGCTAGTATTCAGCCAGCATTGCTGATGTGCTCTCACAACCTGGAGGTTATGATTAAGTTCTAGCTTGAGCACGAAACACGTAATCTCCAGGGACACCCTCAGACTGGATTACCACAGCAGTGGACAGAGTATATGTGAAATTCATTGAGAGCAGTATGTGTTTTGATTGTAACAATTTACTATTTGGTACTGCTTATTTTCACAACTGGCATTTTCACAACAGTTTTCCTCTTGCATGTTTTAAATTTTGCTCATTTGTTGTTTGCATCTTGTAAATTTTTTTTATTTTCCTGCATATTATGTACAAGTAGTACCCTCCTTGTCAAGTGCTAGGATAGGTAAATTTAGCTTGGGCCCATTGTAGTCAATAAGATTAATCTGTAAGGCAAATTTAGTTGGCTTACTGTATGCAGTTAAGCTGGAATTCTGATTGGGGTTTATAGCAAAGTATTAGTGTAGGTAAATTTCATTTTAGCCCACTGTAACCAGTGGAGCTGGGTTTAATTATTTTAGTATCGTCTGTGTTCCAGAGACTGAATGATTGTTTGCTTGTCCCTGTTCACATGGAGAAGCTCTGCGTAATAGAGGCAGGCTCATATCAATCAGCAGCTTAATTTTTATAAAGGCCCAGCCAATCCTTGGGTGGTCTGGGCCCAGAGGATTCGGGGAGAATATATAAATATCCTTGAGCAGAGAGCAGATTTGTTTTCTTCCAGGAGGAGAGATCATCACTCAGGGGGCTCATTTTGTCCTCCCTGCACACTGGTGCCATGTGTTTGCCTAGTGGAGGCCTGAACTGGGAGGCTGGAGGGCCTGGTGAAACTGTATGTTGGGGGCCAGCTTGTACCGCTTGGAGAATCTGCCTGAAGGATACTGGTAGGGGGCCAGGCAGGGAAAGATCCTAGGGAGAGACTGCTGCTAGACTGTGCTAGAAAGTCAGCCGTGTGTTTGCTAAGAAGCTTGTCCATGTGAGGATGGAGTGATCTGTCACTGCTCCCTGCCCCGCCACCCTCTGCACATTGAAACCGCGCCAGAACTCCGGTTGCCTGGGCGGATTGTGTCACTCCCGCACTAGGGAACAGGATGGATAGTTTTCTGGAGCGCTCCACTCCCCAATCTCAGCGGGATCCTGACTTAGGGATGGAGGTGACATCCAAGATGGCTGCCACTATACAGCAAGCACAGCATGCAGGTGGAAGACAGTGATTTCTCACACACCAGGATTGCTCAGGTAGTAGCAAACATACTCATTCCGCTGATCTCAGAGGCAGTTGACAATGCGTTACAACAAGGCATGGAACAGCTGTGGCAGGAGCTGCACAATCAGACCCATAGGCTGGAGGAAGCAAAGTGGTATATTTTATCTGTAGAGAAGCAACTGCTCCAGGTAAACATGGCCAATACTACACGGGGGGGGGTACCCCAATCTCTTCTTAACAAAATAGAGGATTTGGAGAACAGAATTCGTAGGAATAACCTACGTATTATAGGTGTGTTGTCCTCTTTAACCACCTCCCGCCCTCCATATAGTAAAATGACGGACGCAAGGTGGTTCTCTAATTCTGGGAGGACGTCATATGACGTCCTCCCATTCCAACTGCGCATGCGCGGCTCCGCGAGCGTGCAGCATGGCGATCGGTGGTGCTCTGTGTCTCTCAGACACAGCGGATCACCGATCAACGGAAAAAAGCCGAAGATGTCGGCTCGGTCATGTGATCAGCTGTGTCCAAACACAGCTGATCACATGTAAACAGGGAAATGCCGGTTATCGGTTATTTCTCTCCTCACGAACTGTCACGCTGGCAGCTCATGAGGAGAGGAGAGCCGGTAATCAGCATTCCTCGGAAGGGACATGTACACAGATCATCAGAGCACTGATGATCAGTGTGGCCTGATGATCTCTGTAGCATCAGCAGTGCCACCTGTCAGTGTCCATCAGTGCCAGCTGTCAGTGCTCATCCATGCCACCTGCCAGTGCCCATCAGTGCCACATGTCAGTGCCTATCAGTGCCACATCAATGCCACATATCAGTGCCCATCTGAGCTGCCTTTCAGTGTCACCCATCAGTGCCAGTCCGTGCCACCTATCAATGCCAGTCAGTGCCACCTATCAGTGCTGCCAATCAGTGCCACCTATCAGTGCCAGTCAGTGCCGCCTATCAGTGTGCATCAGTGCCTGTCAGTGCTGCCTATCAGTGCCGTCTAACAGTGCCAGTTAGTGCCACCTATCAGTGCCGCCTATCAGTGATGCCTATCAGTGCCATATATGAGTGCTGCCTTTCAGTGCCCATCAGTGATGCCTGTCAATGCCCATCAGTGCTACCTACCAGTGCCTCCTCATCAGTGCCCATCAGTTCCACCTATCAGTGTCCATCACTACAGCCTCATTAGCGCATATCAGTGAAGGAGAAAAATCACTTATTTACAAAATTTTATAACAAAAACTAAGAAAAAAAATTTTTTTTCAACGTTTTCAGTGTTTTTTGGTTTAAGAAAAAATAAAAAAACCCAGAGGTGATTAAATGCCACCAAAATAAAACTCTATCTGTTACAAAAAAATGATAACAATTTCATATGGGTAAAGTGTTGCATGACCGCGCAATTGTCATTCAAAGTGTGAAATTGGCCTGGGCAGGAAGGGGGCATAGGTGCCCTGTAGGCTAGTGGTTAATGGAGCTCTGTAGCCATCGCATCCCTGAAGTTTTAGGCCTTCACTATCCATGCGTTGTAGAAAGAGGTCATTGTGTGGGCCCGCCGCAAGAGCAAGAACAACAGCTGAGGCCCAGACAGATTATTGTTAGATACCACAACTATGCAGATAAGCAACTTATTCTGCAATTCTATCGCAAGGGTGGGAACTTTTCCATGGATAACCATAAATTACTATTATTTTCTGACTATTCTGTGGAAGTGTTGAAACTACACAAGTCTTTTGCCCCAACCTGTTTGCTTCTCTACCAGCATAATCTGCGATTTTCCCTGGCCTATCCTGCAGTGCTGTGTCTGCGTTCTCCTGAAGGTGACCAGCTATTGTTCAATTCTCCTGAGGTGGCTAAACAATACGTGGAATCCATGCTGGCTGGTGAACTGTCCTCCACTCATCTTATGGACGATAATATTGCGGATGCACTCACTGCGGAAACCAACACCACCAAACACCAAAGCAGTCCACTGAAGCATCCTTCCAAACATGGACCCTATGCTGCTGGTCCTAAGAAGAGGGGTGATACCTGATGCGGTTTGGCTATGTCATTTTATCTCATGGAGGGTATGCTCTCGCCCAGCCTATGTGCCTTATGCTACATTTTTCTAATGTTTGCCCTGTTGTATTTGTTCATCCTGAAGGTTTCCTTCCTCTGGTTTTACTATACCTTTCTGGTCTGAGCACCCTATTGGGTCCATAATACGATATACTATAATATCATGTCGCATTGGTATTAGGTTGTAGTGCTGTCTTCTTTACTATTATGTTACCAGCTCTTAAGCTCAGAATTTCTAGCTTCAAAACCTTGGGGTGGAATGATCATTCTGCATACTATGATCATTGGCGCTCTGCATGTCTCGCTATTGCGAGTATCTCATCAACACAGGGGTCTGGAAGCTAGACATTTTGATTGTGGTTTATTCCTCACATGGTAAAAAGCAAAGTCCATAGAAATTCTCTGTTTTGAGTTATTGTTTTACTTCTGCTTTGTTTTTGCTTTCTTTTTGTATATCTGTTTATTGTGATATTCTGTCTGGTCTCGAGTTTCCCAGTATACCATTTCAGATACATACTCTGAGGAAGGGGCCAGGGCTGAGACCCTCACTTCTTTGCTTGGTGTATCTATTTGTCTCCGGGGGCTTGTTCCCCATAGATATTGTACTCGGGTGAGTCTCCTCCTCCCTATCCCCCATCCTCTTTGCCTGGGAATGATACTTCTGAATACCTCGTGATTCATCTGCCCGGTAACATGCGAGTTATATCCTGGAATGTTAAGGGACTTCATTCTCCAGGCAAAAGGATGAAAATTTTGCGACATCTAAAGTCTTTGAAGGCAGACATTGCCCTTTTACAAGAGACGCACCTGTTAGAATGTGATCTTCACCGTCTCAAGAAATTATGGGTGGGGGAGGTTGTTGGCTCCACGGCTATGGGTTGCAGGGTGGGTGTGGCTATTCTCTTACATAAATGTCTGTCCTACTCTGTTTGCTCGATAGATAGTGGCCAAGAGGGACGTAAACTCACCATTCACCTGTTTATAGCATCCAAGGATATACAGTAGCTATTAAAAGCATTTATGCTGTTAACTTTCCAGGTATTACATTTTTTTCCAGGTTCTTGCCTTGTGGGTCATGCATTCCCCTGAACCTGAACAGTTTAATACATACTGATGAGGATAAAACCTTGTGTCCCGCGGGACCCAACCCAATTTCCAGTTGCCCTTGAACTTCCTCCACGCATTTGGTGGATACTATCTCTCATTTACACATGGCGGATGTTTGGTGCCTCTCGCTCCCCACTGATAGGGAAGTCACCTGCTATTCACCACCGCATGACATCATGTCCCATATTGACTACTTGTTCTGTTCATCTTCCCTTCTCCATGCAGTCCGACACTCAGAGATTTTAGAAATAGGATCACAATCCTATTGTAGTCACTCTTGATGATTTTAAACCATGAGGTACTCCACCCCCCTGGCGGTTCCCCTCTTACCTTGCGGATAATGAGGATTTCCACCATGCTGTCCTCAATGCTTGGAATGATTATGCCCTCACCAATGCGGAGCATGTTACTGACCCTAATTTATTTTGGGAAGCAGCTAAGCAGCTAAGGCGGTCATGCGGGTTAAAATGATATCCTATGTTTCTCAGTATAAGAAGCATTCCTTGGATCAGTTCTGCCAAGCTAGCACCACCCTTCGGACTGCCCAATTAGAGCTATGTCAAACTAGATCCCCGGAAGCATGACGGAAATGGCAGGAGGCCAAGAGGTGCTTTGAGTTGTGGGTGGATCAGGGGGAACGGATTAAGAATTCTTATCGCTCCTTGCAATTCCACAAATACGGGAAAAAAGCTGGAAAACTGTTAACCAATTTTTGTCACAGACCCTTTACTCCTACCCATACCATGGCGCTCAGAGATCCCAAAGGAACCTTGACAACCTCATTGCAATAAATATCCTCTTTATTAACGCATTTTTACCAATGGCTGTATTCGGAGAAACAGGTAGATATGGACAGGGCGGAGACACTCTTACAATCTATCCATCTGCCCCATCTCTCCCAGGCCTAATTAGACGCATTGAATGCCCCTATCTCCTCGGATAAGACTTTGACCACTATTGTAACTCCCCTGGTCCGGATGGCTATTCGTCTGAATTTTACAAATTGTCCCGAGACTATGTACATCAAACTTTATTGCAAGTATACAACAATATATGGCAGGGGGGCCTCTATCTCCCTATGGGATCCACAGCATTTCTAAAGTTACTGGCCAAAAAAGGCAAAGACCCCACTCTCCCTGGTTTGTACCACCCTATTTTGCTTAACAACTTTGATTCTAAGATCTTGTCCAAAATTATCACCTCAGGTTTGGCGGACATCCTCCCGGCATCTTACACCCGGCCCAAGCAGGGTTTGTCATGGGTAGATCAGCTGTCTTACATATCCGAAACGTTATCATGGCTCTAGAACAAGCTAAGCTTCGTCCTGGTCAAGATATGGCCATCCTTTCCCTCGACGAGCTCAGTATTGGCCCCCTTTCATTTAAGAAAGAGAACACGTCAAGGTTACCCCCTTTCCCTTCTGTTGTTCAATTTGGCCATTGAACCTCTTTCCAGGATACTTATTTCTCATCCTCTATTGGGAATTAAAATTGGTAATGCCTCTATGAAGGCTGCTTTGTTTGCAGATTACATCCTTATCTTCTCCTCGGCGGTATCCTCTGATCTCCCTGTTATTCAGAATCTTTGCACTACATTCCAGCTCTGCTAGGGGCTGTGCATTAACATTCACAACTTTCACAAAAGTGAAATTCTTCCGCTTAATCCGTCTCGCTCCCAGTGACATCTTCTTTGCTTCAGGTACCTCCCTACCACATCATCTATTTGGTCATCAAGATAGGAAGTCAACCGGCATCACTGTATTGTCTCAACTTTTCCCTGATCTTTGAGAAGATCAGCCGCGAATTGGAGACTTTGACCCCCCATCCCTTTTCACTCTTTGGTAGATGTCATCTTTTTAAAATGGTGTCCTTTGCAAGACTTTTATATCCGCTGCAAACGCAACCCTTATTGTTTAGGCATAAAGATATTCAAATGCTGCACAAATCACTGCTAAAATTTCTGTGGCATTCCAAATGCTCCCTCATTGCCCTCTGCAAACTATATCTGCCGAAATGTTCCGGGGGAATGGGTCTACCCAATATTCGTCTAAATCAGGGGTGTCCAAACTTTTTTCAAAGAAGGCCAGATTGGATGAAGTGAACATGGTGGAGGGCCGAACATTTTTCGGAACATTCTTTGAACCATTACAATTAAATGCAAATAAATTATTTTATGCCAAGTTAATTGCAAATGACATACTTTTCATTTCATAACATTAAGATCAACTGACAGCTGAGTTTTCACAATGTATTGAAAATAAATTAAAAAAAAAACTTACCTGCACTAATGTGAAGGGTGAAAAAGGTAGCTGGAGCTGAAGTCTCTGCTCGGCAGCCGGGAGCGGAAGAGAAACACACTTCACGCTGGAAGCCCGGCCCTGACGTCACCGCCCTCTGTCGCTCCCAGCGCGGCGCAGTCACGCATGCGCACTGCTCTCAAGCAGAAGACTGTCTGCCACAGAAGGGAGGGCCGTGCGGCAGCCGCATTTACACAGACCAGGGAGAACGTGCCTTAGTCAGGCATGCGCACTGCCCTCTGCTCTCAAGCAGAAGACTGTCTGCCATAGAAGGGAGGGCCGTGGGAGGGCCACATTACACAGAGCAGGGAGGGCTGTTGGAGGGCCATATTAAACCGACCCCCGGGCCGTAAATGGCCCACGGGCCGGACTTTGGACATGCCTGGTCTAAATAATCTGGCTTGTCTTCTCAGACAAGGGCTAGAGTGGCTGATCTATGTACTCCAATTACATGCTGGAAGCAGCTCTGGCCTAACCCCTTAATTTGGCTGTGATTCTACATGCGCCCCTTAAAATGTTACCCTCTCGATTAAAACACAATTCTCTCATC